AAAGAAGATGTTACCTGCACAATCGGCACTTGCTAGGATCTTACCATTTGGCGCACATTCCAAGGCGGTGATATATTCGTTGTGGCCTGTGAACACGCGGACACAACCGCCAGTTACGACAGACCACATACGGATCGACTTGTCAGTCTCGTCAGAGGCGGAGAAGACATAGAGGCCATTAGGGTGCCATGCAAGTGCTGAGATGGACGTGTCATGCCCAACCAACAATCGTTGAGGGGAAGCATGATCTTGCATCCACAGTCGAACAGCTTTGTCGTATCCTCCACTGATGAAATAGTGTCCATGAGGACCCCAGAGTGTCCTGAAAGCAGGTCCATCGTGGGACTTGTAAAGACATAGGCAACTCCAAGACTCTAGTGACCACAGACGAATCTGGCCATCCGCAGATGCCGATAGTAGCAGCTTCGGTCTCGTGTCCATGGCAGGGTTCGACTTTCCTTCGTCGCCAAAGAGCTTCTGCGGAGGGCCAGAAACAGCATCGGAGAAGGACACGTCGTAAACGGGTCCGGAATGTCCGATCAATTTGCGGCTGTTGAACTTGGCTTCTTTCTCGTGCGCGTTCATCGTGGGCAAGGCTTTACCATCCAGCGACCAAACACGAATGTAAGATTCCGTGGTACCAGCTGCCACTAATTGTCCATCGTTGGAGAAGTCCATACATGCAACACTGAAATTTGTTAGTATCAGCGGTTCCCACGGGGCTGTCAAAACTCACCTTCCAAGCGTGTTATGGAATGTAAACATGCATGCGCTGATAGGGACTCCCACGCCCCCCGTCGCACCGTCGATCTTGAATCGGTCGCGATTCTCTCGAAGCTTTTGCATTTCTAGCATGATGTCCCTCGGCCTTGAGGGTGGTAAGGGTAACTCTGCTCTGCTTGGGGCATCTGCACTCTCCTCACGTTTGATTTTTTGGTCGAACTCATCCACTAGCGATGTTTTTCCGGGAGGAGGCGGAATTCGTCGCTCCTCTTCCTCAAGCTCAGCTCGCACATCGTCGCGCAGGTCGGCATCCATAGGAAGTGGTCCAAGCTTCAGGGGAGCAGTTGGATCGAGAACGTCCTTGTTCGACAAGCCAATATTGACGCCCGGGATACCTTCGTTGGTATCTATACTCTCTATCTCCATGTTCCTTGACCTTCTGTAAACAGCTTCGAAACTGAAGGGGGTAATAGGTCCACGAGCTGTAGAATCAATCTGGCAGTAGGTTGCCAGGACTTGGCGAATCACGGAACCACCCTGATCAGACTCACGCTCCAGAAAGTTAAAAAGATCACCGCTGGCATGTTGGTTCAGGGGGATTCGGTACTTGTTTTCCCGATACAGCTTTGTCATGGGGTTCTCGTTTATGTGTTGTGGTAGTGTAATGGTACCAAGGGTCTTGAGATCATCCGCGTGTACCGGCTGGAAGTTGGGCCCGATGTCTCTGAGGAAAGCCTTAGCATCTTCAGTGTAGGCATGCTGGACAAGTTCCAGGAAAGAATAGACGAAGACGGGCCATAGCAGCTTGGACAGTTCGAACTGGGGTTGTAAGCAAAGGAAACAGTAAGAGGGTCACCACGGCATACCTTGTATATGTCCAAGTTGTTCTCGACCCACTCACGTAGAAGTCCAAAGGCTCGTTGGTACTTTTTGGGGCCGAGGTTGGCCAGTTGATAGATAGGCTTGCCATCGGGGCCGAGATGTTTAGATTCCTGACGAAACACCTCTTCGGTTCGGTTGAACCCCCTTTTGAGCAAGTAGTCCGTGACCTGTGCATTGAGTTCAGTGTTTGCACATTTCGGCGGAGGTTCCATGATAATTATGGTGCGCGAGCTGATCAATTATATGTGTTTGTAATGGATGTATGATGGTCTGCGTTACTGCGGCTCAAGATGAATAGAAGTTGAGATAAGCACCCTAGACAGGATACATGGAGCCAATGTGCAGTATGGGTGGTGCTTGATATGTGTTGTCATGGAAAGTGCTAAGGGGCAGATGATATAATGGTCGCCGTTATGTTGGTGGTGTAATGGAATGAGACGACCATGGAGATTCATCAAACAAACAAGTAGAAAGTGACTTACAATCTGATTGAGGTTTTGATTCGACATTGGGCCTCCAGATGAGCCACTTTGGCCCGTCGCGGCGGTTGCTGCTGCGTGTGTTGGAGCTGGGGGTGTTGGTGCAGGTCCTTGATAGCCTGGCGCTTGAGGTGCGCCTGGTGTTTGTGCTGGCCCAGACATAGTGAAGGGCAGTGACTGTGAGAGAAGAAGGCGAGTTTGGATTGGAGCCTAGGTGTTCGAGCCAGCCTATCTAAGCCACACGCTGGAAGAGAGAGCGAGTGTCCCTCAGCGATATGTCATACCCCAGCTGTGTCTTTCGGATGGGGACCAGCTCCTGTCGCTCTTCAAGGTGATGAGATGAGAGGTCACAAACCGCCAGTCTGTGGCAGTGTCCTTCTTTATCGGATATTCGAAAGAGTTGGTGTCGGTTTTATCTGTGAATTAAGATGGTTCGAAGAAGAATGATTGTAGCTAAGAAGACGATGAGATCCTAAGGTTTGTGTGAGTTGTAACCTCGATTCAATAATGCTGAAAGTTAAAGTGAATCGTGGATGATCAAACGCGCCAAAGCTTAGCAGAGCGCGCCTGGAGGTTAACCGATGATTAAGCGGCGCAATATGATATTGAACTCTGCGAGACAATAAGAGCGTGGCACACATACACAAGGATATCCAACTTACTTATGTCCAATAATTCTCTTTTGTAGTTTTGCATCCTGGGAGCCTTCTCCCATCGTTCATCCTAACAAATCGTGCTGCTGTTGAAACAATTGATTGAGCATGCTTGCACGGGCCGCCACCGCCATCTGCCAGTGACGGCGGGTACGTACCTCTCACTTGATCTTTCATTCAATGAGATCCGTTTCGGTTGCACTTCAACTCACTTCAGCTTCACTATCACAGAGAACTCACTTACATTTTATTCATCTACTTGCATCAACGTAAGGCGGTTTTGAAGATTGAAAGCCCGATTGCCCTTCCTGGGTATTTTCTTGGACTGAACCATCACAACCCTTTGTTCCAGCTGAGCCTTGTGTTAAATTGAGGGTTTGAGCATAAATCCAAGGACACAGTATCGTCAACTTCGTCGTACTTCCACGAAAAGCTCTCAAAGTTCGGGGGTCACATTCATGGCTTCCCCAAATGATGTCGAGATGGCTGGTGCCGAATCATCACGCAATGAGCCATTCACTATTGAAGAGAACATCCGCCAGCTCAACGCCATCGACCAACAAATCATCCAGCTCATGAAACACACTGCCACAGCACTCAACGCACTCACGATACCAAAAGCCACAGAAACCGACCAGAGTATGGATCCATCAACCGAACCTACGAAGCCATCACTAGATCCTGGAACACAAAAAGAAGCCTTCGCCTCTGCAACAGATCAGTTCTTCCGGGCCCTTCACACCGTCGACGTCAAGATCAAACGCCAGGTTATGGCACTCGAAGAAGCCAATATCATCAGTCTTGCTCCGCCGCCTCGTCTAAATAAGACGGGCCCCATTATCCCACAACCGACGCCTAACGGAGTAGGAGCTGTGGGCATCATCGGAGCAGGTTGGCTGAACAGTCGAGGGACAAGAGTTGAGAGGGATATGGAGGCAGAGCTCTGGGGAAAGGCCAAGGAAATACTGAAGGAGAAGGAAGCAAAGCTGGAGTCGGCATCACGATAGATGGGATTGGCCTGAGTGGTAGATACAATGTTACTGGAAGGTTTAGGAAAGGGGCCATTATCTTCCCGGTCATCCTGATAAAACTACAACTGAAACAACCCTTCAAAACCTTTGCTGCACAATACAAATCCATTGACGATTGAACTTCATGTTCCGAGTCTAATAAACACAGCAAAAGATACCCTTAACTTGGGCTAAATTTATATTAAGCTAACCAAATCTTTTTGTCGCCTAAGATCAAGGCCCTAAGTTTTTTTTCCTCCCCTAGCTACCTTACCTAGGGTAGGTAGCTACGGCAAGGTAGTATCGTACTGGTGGATGCTAAGAAAAGAATTTGACGGATATACGGACATCTAAATACAGCACTTGTAAAATGGAGTCCAATAAGTCAGTGATCAGCTTCGAGTCCATTAATGCCAGGACTTCTAATTCTTGGGGACGACTCCAACCATTGAACAAGCCATGGCCTTCATCCACTAGAGTCAGTATATTCCCGTTACTACGAGATGGTGATGTCAATGCATGAGCTCCATTTTCAAGGACTTCTGTTCATATTTTGGGTAATGGGCGACTATATGTCTCATAAACTGCTCATGAAAACACTTGACTTGAGACTCCAAGAGGACCAAGACTTGGTTGCAAACATGGCATTCTTGGATTCGGGTATATCGGACCCAGTCGACGCACGTTGCTCTATTAGCGGACAATAAAGCTCCGGCAGCCCCCCTGGCGCTGCAGGAATTAGTGGGAAAACACCACGCCTGATATCAAAAGCAACCAATCACCATCGCGCTTTGTGTAATGACAGGCTGCCGAATGCTCCGGAATGACGCCCTCAATCGATGGAGCCCCCTGGAACCTCAAGTATGGAGGGCCCGAGGTGGGAAGTGGGAGAGGTTGGCGGCCTTTTTACTTGAACCGACACCAGGAAACAACTTTTGAGTTTGCCCAATTTCCTCATCTCCTTCTTCCTCGTCACCCTTTGGTCTCCCTAGAGGAGTTTTATTCTGCCTCGTTGTACAAACGCAGTCTTTTGTTTGCTCTGCTCTCGACATCTCGCTATCTACTCGCTTATCGAGCCACGATCCCCCAGCGATTGCTGCTTACAATTGAATAATTTGGACGCCGCTAGACATCGACGATCCCCCACCGACGGTTGTTACGGCGGGAAGAACGGAGCCGAAACTGCGATTGCTCACAATTTGCACGGAGACATTGGATCGTGATATTGACGGAAATCCGAGGACGATACGGCCATGATTGGCGATTATAAGTCGAAGGCCATTGCGGCGCCTTCACTATCCAAGGTTGCGACAGTAGCGCTTCTCGTCACAGCTGTGCAAGCCCACGACCACGATGCAAGCCATATTCCTGAGGGCGAAACAGTCTCTTTGGAACCCTTAGTGCGTTTAACAGGCCTGGAAATCTGGACCAGTGGCTGACGAGTAGTAGGATACGGTATTATGGATTCACATCTTCATTCAGATGTTAGCGTACGGCGTTATCTTCCCTGTCGGTATGGTTTTGGGTGTAAGTAAACAAACCTACTCAGCCTTGGCACCACACTGACATCCACTAGATGACCAAGAATCGATGGCACGTTCCGACCCAAGCCGTTGGCACCATTCTCGCCATTCTTGGCTTCTTCCTTGGTCATGCGCATAAGGGCCGCGAGTTCATTCCGAATCACGTTCATGGCAAATTTGCGCACATTCTTCAGCTTCTCCTTGCCGCGCAGGTTGTTCTCGGACTCTACCTCAAAGGACATTGGGAGAAAGGCATCAATGGTAGAATTCGAAAGCTGATCCGCCCGTGTCATTCTTTCATCGGCAAGCTCATGCCAGTCCTGTCATGGACACAGATGATCTTTGGTGGAATCACAGCTCTTGGCTTTTGCCAGGGAGATCATACTGGACAATGCGCCGCTCACTTTATTATGGGTGGTGCTTTCATCGCCTACGGAATTCTTCTCACCATTATCCTCGTTGTTGGCCAGCTCTGGATCCGACGACATGGTCGTTCGCAGGAGTTCTACGATAGCGTTGCGATTGCTGCATGGGGCTGTGTTAACACATTTACCGAGCATCGCTGGGGAACCGACTGGGTCAAGAACGATTGGCAACATACGACAATGGGAATCATCTGGTGGTGTGCTGGTTTGGCTGGTATCTGGCTGAGCAAGGACCGTGACGGAAACCCCAAGCGCAACTTCATCCCCGGCTTCGTTATTTTCATTACAGGCTGGGCCATGTCTGCCCATCCTCAGGAGCTGATGGTCAGTGCAGCTACGCATACAATGTTTGGCTACACCCTTATGGCCGTGGGCATTACTCGTATCATTGAGATTGCTTTTGTGCTCAGGGATGCTCACTCCATCTCAGAAGATGGCCGAACTGCCAACAGCTTCCAGTTTGTTCCAGTTTTTGTAAGTCAGCCCGCATTTCACAATCAAAGTTAAGCTAACACTTGCAGTTCATGTATGCCGCTGGCTTCCTTTTCATGGGCGCTACAGAGGAGCAAATGAATCTTGTTGCTGGCTCCGCTATGGACCACGTTTCGTACATCCTTATTACCTACTCTCTCGCCTCGATCATGTTCCTCTTCGTCAACATGCTCATTGGTCTCTGGGACCGCCTTGCTCACCCTGCACTGGACACCAAGGAGCTCGGCAACAACCACTACGCCAACGGGCTCGGGGTGGAAGACGGTCAACTGCGGGATGCTCAAGAATTCGAGTTAGATGGGTTGATGAGCGACGACGATGACGATCCTAGTCGGAGAATGCTCGGACCCAACAGCGAAGACAGCGCAGCTACTGTTGGACGAAACCAACAGACTCGTGCTTAAGGGAGGACATATGATCTCTCGTGAGACGTACATTTGGGGACGGGATGGTGCATACCTAGACTGTTTATAGGGGTATCTGGCGTCATTTATGGCATGTGTATGATGTTGAAATGACTACTTGATGGCATGGGAAGCGGCATTTTCAGAATTGTATTACTTAGACATTCGAGGCGCAATTGATTGGGATTCATGAATAATATTTTGTCTCCTCGTGTTGAGTCTCTGGAGGAGGCGTTCTGGAACATGCAGCTCTGCCGATCCCCGCGGCGGGGCTCACTTTAGCGCATTCCTTACCGAACCTCCACCGAGTTTTTCGACCCCAGTAAAAAAAAAGTTGAGAGCCTCTTATCGCAGAACTTCCATCACCAAAACCAACACATACAGTCACAATGCCTTCCGTCGGCAACCCTAACGGTCCCTCCAAGAACCGCCTTGCGGCGCGCGCTTCAAGCGCCCGTAAGGAGCGACGCAAGCGATCACAAGCACCCAAAGATAAGGTCGCAAAGGCCGATACTACACGAGGCGCCAGGCCAGGTCTTTTGCCTACGAGCGGACCCAGAGCCAAGGTGAGCGCCAAAAAGGCGCGCAAGATAGAGAAGAGATTGGCGCACGCTATGAAGAGAAAGATGGAAGCTGAGGGAGAGGCGGAGATGAAGGGTAAGTTGCTGCTTGGAAGGTCAGTAACAGAGTGCTGACTTGAATAGATGCGCCAGAGGTTGAGGGTGAGGGCGAGAAGGCCGAGGAGGTTGAGATGGGCGACATTCAGTGAGGGAAAGTTGACGGGGAAAGGAAGACGAACCGACAAATGAACAACAAATGACAAGGAGTTCCGAAGAGGAGCTGTTGCAACGACGATAACAGCTCGCGAAGAGACTCTACCACGAGGCGAACCTCACGGCGAAAACGAGACTTCAGAACGAAAGGCATACCTGAGATGAAGGACTGGACAAGGCTGGAAAACTGCTATAAAAGGCACGGAGGAATCCGCGCTTCGACTTCCATAGGGCCAAAGGTCGAGGTCCCAATTACATATGCAGGGAGACCGTAGATCATCTGAACATCAACTGAATTGATGATAAATCTTCCAACCGTGTCTGCCGAACCCATGACGGTGACAATTGCATGGTGAAGTTTCTGGATGGATATTTATGCTACAATTATGCAAAGACAAGAGACAGTTGGCGGCTGTCGTTCTGGAATATTGGATCGGCCGTGATTCACTTACCTCTTCTTTCAATAGCTCAACCTCCATCTTCAATCTTCAATCTTGAACCTACCTACCTTCATCTCTATCCTCATCACCGCACCACAACCCGCCAAATCAATACCGAAATCGCATTTCTTTAACTCAGGCGCTAACCCACATTTCTTCTGATCTCTTCTCACAGCTAGTAGCTTCTTCTTTACATCTACAAAACCTCAACTTGGAGCGCTCTCGCCCACCAATCACAACATGAGCACCTCATTGTCTGCCGAATTTGTACAAAATGTCACTCAGCGATTAACGGAAATCGTGCTCCTTAATCTGATGAGCGCAGACTTCAAAAACCACATCTTCTACAACTCCAACCGCCGCCTCGAGGAAGCGAAACAGAAGGGCATCACCCTCAACGACATCTCTATCGGAGACGACTGCCTTGCTACATGGAGTGGCCGCACTTGGGACCCCGACACAGGTTCCCTGCACGATGCTCTTCAAGAAGATGCCTTGAATCTTCTCGAAGCGCAGGAGGCTAGCAGTATGGTGCGTAGGGACCTCATCCAGAAGAGCAACCGCAAGCTGGATGAAGCGCGAGGTCTTGGTATTGCGCTGGAGGACATTCAGATCGGACTGAACTTGCTGCCAGTTTAGGGGGCTGCAGCGGAAGAAGCGATCCCGTTTCTGCTCGAACACAACGAAGAGGACGAACACCACAGTTCTCCTGAGAGCAGCATCCAAGACGATACAGACATTTCCGAGGGAACTATTGTCAACATCAACACCGGAGACTCTGACAACGACACGGCCATGGTCACAGATGATGCCGACAGTACCGACTCCGACAGTGATTCCGAGATGGAGTTTGCGGTCCTTGGAAATGACAATAATCTCGTCAACGACGAGATTGAAACATCCAACATTTTCAACCCGGAACCCTCGTATGATTCAGATGACGAAGAACCAAACATTTTCCACGGAGCTCAAGTCATGGGTGTCCCAGCACAGCACTCCATCGTTGACCTCGAGGTTTACTTCGCCGAGGACGAGGACGAGGTCCAAGACCTTCCGCAGATGGAGTTGGCTATCGATCAAGAGTCCTACGAACACTACTTTGGAACTGATGGAGCGATCGATCTTGAGGTTGTTGGAGGTCGACTCATCTGCACCGGAGAGCTTTTTGAGGAGGACCAGGAGATGACACTGGAGGATGTGGCGGATGACATGGAGGTTTTGTCACTTACGGCTAGCGACGACGAACAATTGGAAGCAGAGGACTGAAATGGGAGCAGCGAGGATTGAGGTGCGACAGAAGCGCATACTCCTCAGCACGAAGCAGAGACTGGTATTTTGCGGGAAGACTGGAAATGGGCATTTCTGATGAAATGGGACAGAACTCGCACAGATTTGATTCTCGATCATGACTTGTATCTAGACCCTTACGCAAAGCCAGTATCTAAAAGCAATTGTTTTCAACACTTTCCGACCAATCCTGTAAAATGACAACATGAAACATCAACCTTCCTTTCCCTTCAACATGGTTTTCCTTCAACAGGGGTTTCCTTCGACATGCCATCTCATTCACTTGAGAGCATTCCACCATCCTTCGGTAATCTCAACAATAACACCTTTCACAGTTCATCCTCGTCAACGGGCATTGGCATCTTAGGACGGTACGCTGGCCGCACAAACTTGGATAAACCTTCAACACGCGCGCATGTAATCTCAGGAGTCTGAGGAGCCTCAGGCATCTGCTGAAACAATTGTGCACTCTGATATACCTGGGAACTCAGGTGGACCTCGGGACCCTGATGGATTTGGGGACTCTGATGAATCTGAGAGTTCTCATAGTGCGCCTGGATTTGAGGACTCTGCAAACCAAGAACCTGGCCAATCTGCATCTCTAGCTTGGCGACACGACTTTCTAGTTCTCGGTTCTTTCTCTCAAGCTCTTCCTGCTTACTAACCGAAGGCCCTCGTAGTCGAATCATCTTCACAGTCCGAGCAGAGGCATTGTTTCGTGCGCCTGTTGCATGGCCCGCAGGATTGGTTCCACGACCAGCAGAAGGGCTCCCCGGTGTGACAACAATGGTCGACTCTTCTGTCTCCATGGGCGTGAGCAGAAGGCTTCGTGGAGTTCGTGTCGGGGTTGCAAACAAGTCCATATTGAACTGACTGGGCATGAAAGCCGAAACTTCGCCAGCCTTCATGTGAGGTCTAGCGTTCGCATGCAACTTGGCAGAGCGGACGTTGGAGTAGGTTTTGCCTGAGCCTTTGCAGCCGAACTTGATGCACACATAAGCACACCCCCCATCCAGAACCATCATGCCCTCGATGTCCTCCACGATTTCTTCCGCAGGCTCCTCAGCAAGAGCATGAAAGTTAGCATTGGCATGTTTTCGGGCGCTGGTGAGATGCTGATAGATAGAGTTCATTCGCTTGCAGCCAGGTTTAACGCAAGTCCAGACACCTTCCTCCATTGAGTACTCCAACCCTTCGAGATTCTCATCTGCAGAGTCGGGCTCCTCAGCCAAGGCATGGCTGTCACCGCTGGCGTGCTTTTTGGCATTGCCCAGATGTGAGAATAGTTTGTTGAATTTTCGGCAGCCGCGCTTGAGGCACCTCCAGCCGTCGCCGTCTTTCAGGGACTCCATGCCTTCGATATGTTCCACAGACTCATCAGATGAAGTGGCGACCTCCTCCGCAGCCATGAGGTGAGTATCGGAGTTGTAATGGCTCTTGGCATTTCCAAGCCCTTTGATGACAACATTGAACTTCTTGCAGCCTTGCTTGGTGCACTTCCAGAGTAATCCATCCTCCGCAACCTCCATCCCGTGTACCGCGCTCTTCTTCCAGACTTCTTCGCCTGATTCGTCCGCGTCTGTAAACCCCAGGTCTTCTTCCGCCCGGGCGTGACCGAGTGATCTGCTATGCTGCTTCATAGCGGCATAAGAGTCAAACTGGAAACGAAACCGGGGGCATTTCTCGTTGACGCATCTGCCCTTTTTGCCACCGGCATAGAATTGAATTCCGGGCAAGACATCTCTATCGCTACTGTAATTGAGGTCGTCGTCGTCGAATTTGACATACCATCCATCACGATGTTCTTCGTCTTTCAGGTGGTTGAAAAATGATTTTGCCGTACTAAAGACTTCCCCGTGTCGGTGGCAGCGGCGGGAAGTGCAGCGGAATGAACGAAGACCTTCCTGCTCGGCCTGGAGCGCGGAGGTAGTTGGGATGCCCGAGAGCAAGACTTTGTTCAGATTCGCGGCAGTTTGATGAGCACCTGTGTCTGCGTGACGGTTGAACTCAGACTTGCACTTGTAGTCCGTACCGTAGTGTCGACAACAGGGCTCGTTACAGATATTTCCATCTGATTCGAAGGGTCCAAAAACATCATCATCTGCGCTCTGATGACCAGAGTTGAGAGATGGTGTGAAAACCGAGTCGTTATCATCTGCAGTCTCATCCGCAAACCAGTATTTGTGACCACTTGAGTTTCGAATGTGCTCGACAAAGAGGGGGTTTGTGTCAAAAACTTCTCCGACCATCTCGCAGTCTTCATCCTCACAAACCCACTGGGTGTTATGCTTGCTTGCCTTGGCATGTCGCTGGAGTGCAGGCTGAGCAGCAAAGTTCACATGACATTGCCCGCACGCGTAGGGACCTTGGTGCCAGTTCTTGTCGTGCTTCTAGCACTCTTCGGCAGAGGCAAAGGTCCAGCCATCGCAGTGAATGTAGGGACAAGTGAAAGTGAACTGCTCCTCTTCATTTGGGCACTCGTCGCCGACATAATAGCCTTCAGGCGCACGGTAAAGAGGCTCGTCATCGAGTGACATGACAGAAGGAGTGTCTTCACTACTAGAAGACATTGTCGCACAGGTTGTTGACACGAGCGCGGAGGTCTGCGTTTGTGTGAGAGTATGCAAGGGGGTGGACGTATATGTGCTTTATAGCTTTGAGCGATGCCGAGGAATACGATATCTTCCAAAACTATCGTCCCCTAGTAGCCTTTCAACAGCTTCGTTCACTTGAATAAAATGAAACAAGACGTTGTGTCGTGACCGGAGAAAGAGGGGTCATCACGAAGAAGGAGAGTAAGAAGGAAAAGGCGGTTTGTTTACGCCAGCGTCGTTGCTGGGTGACTGATGGGCTTGAGTAATTGTCACTGTCACTGTCACTGTCAACCTGACTTTTGTACGGATTAGGCTGGCCTATCACGCACAACGCAAAGAACCCCTATTATTTTAAAGGCGAGAAGAACAAGTGAATGACAATGAGGAAGAAACCCTTCCATTCATGGTGGGCCAAGAGTAAGTGCTACGCTTCACTGCATGGCAATGATAGAGACCAACTCGAGCTCCGTTTTCAAGTAATAACATCCGGTATGGTGTAGTGGCTAACATTTCGCGCTCTCATCTTCAGCTGAGGGATCAGTACCGCGGAGCCCAGGGTTCGATTCCCTGTACCGGAGTTCCTGTCTTTTTGCTCTTCTGGAGTCTTTTGTTGGCTACAAGTTGTATACGTTCGTCCTCTTTTCGCCCTTGGCTATAGGTGAGAGATGTTGTTGTGATGTTGGAGGCGAGAACTAAAGCGAGCGTGACTAAAGAGTAAGCAGTTATTTAATCTGGAACAACTTCAAGTTTTAAGGCAAGAAGCCGATTTATTAAAAAGCGTTACTAAGATTTTGCGAGTTACCTAAGTCTTGTTGTAAGTTGGGACCGAGATCCTAAGTTTAGACCGGCCTCCTCACTAAGAGGACTTATACCACCGAAGGAACATATACGGTCTTGGTTGGGCGGGCTGTGCGCCTCACTTATACAGAGCATCTAAGTTCATTTGTACTTATTCGTTGCAACCGAGGAAACTAAAACTCATGACAAAGGAGACTACAGCTTAGTAGGTTTACCCAACAGCTCACACGCTCAACTACCCCCATGCTTCCTCTTCAAATGCCTTTTCAGATGATCTCGTCTCGCAAAATACTCTCCACAGTGCCTGCATTTGGGCTCGCTTCGACTAAGGCCCATCTTGACTGCCTCGTCTGGGTGGTTACTCCAATAGTGCCTCTCCAGATCGCGCCTCCACTGGTGCCCCTTTCCGCAGATGTGACACTTCTCAGGCTTATCTTCTTTTCGCTTCTCTCTTCTTGAAGGAAGTTTTAGTATAAGCGAATTACTAATGTAAATCTGGCAAGGATGGCTTACTTCAAGTCACAGGGTCTAGTGCCTGGTTTCATCTTCGTTCTTCGTCTTCTGGTTAATGTGCTTGATGCGTTTTCAGCATTTTTTGCCGATAAGGGGTTGGAAATTTGTGATTGTGACAGTCTTGTTGGACTGCTTTGAGTCGTTGGGGAGGAAGAATTTGTGTAAGTAGTGGAATAATCGGATTGCTCTGTGGTTGTTATAGAACCAGCAATGGTAGTAGTGATGGGATCAGTGGGCATCGTCATGAAGTCCCAGTTCGTAGGTAAGATATCAGGATAAGTAGTATCTAGAGCTGGTAGCTCTTGAGTGTTATATAAAATTGGGTTGATATGATTGGAGTAAATGCCAAATGAGTTCGTATTGACTGAATCGATTGCATCTGCAAAGGTTGTTTCCTGGTGTACGTCGGCAAACGCTGCGTCATTCGTATCATATGGAGCATTCAATGGCAAGTTATCCAGGTAATGGCTTGCAAAGTCTACGACGAAGTCTTCTTCACTCATGAAGAGCAGATCATCGTCGGGGACCCGTGCCTCCATTGTCTGTTGGGTTGTACGGGGCTTGCCACCAGTGGCTACGCCCAGGAGATATATGTTGGCAATTCGAGAATTAGAGGTTTTTGATGAAGAAGATTTCGAAGGAGGAAAGTAATAGGACACCTTTTTACGACATATCCGGGTCCATTAATCGTGTTGGCTGACACTGTAAGTCCACTGCCGCATCGAGGGAGCAAGAAGCCGACGTACCCAAGCAAAAAGTGAAAAAGCAATACACAACAATGAAACAACTCCTTTTGAGAGGGTTCGATCGCGCGCGTTGCTGATACACATTCCGGGCATCTGGCTGGATCTTGAAGATCTACAGGTGCATGTGTCGGGGTAACACAATGGCGGGACTGTAGGTCTTCAAGATCCAGCCAAAATTGGTGTGCTAGGGGATACAGCCTGAAACGTATGTTAGACTTCCCCTTGAAAGATTCCTGGCAGTAACTCACGTTCGCGCGCAGGCCCTACAAGCTCACCACGCATGACAGGTACCGGGTATCATGCGTGATGAGCTTGTAGGATTGCTAGCACCGCCAGAAAACCCGCGGTCCGACCACAACAGCTGTAGCTACTCATCCTGTTGTGGTCGGACCGCGGGTTTTCTGGCGGTGCTAACACGTGGGATTATTATCGGGACACCAGGTCTCGAAAGCACAAAAACGAATTCGATGATGATGATGATGATGAAGAAGAAGAAGAAGAGAGGGAAAGAACAAAGCGAAGAAGCACCGGGTATTTATGCTGATCAATGGCGAGTTTACGGATGAGTCGTGGATGGCTTCTCATTGGCAGGTTTGGAGGCCTTTGCATATATTCGTGAGGGCCAACGTCATATGATGGTCGGCCTCCAAGACTAACATGTCTTCAAATCTCTCACTTGGGGACATATGAAGAAATGGAGAAAACAAACACATAGAACTTGAAACTGAAAGTTATCTGATGTCCTATTGCTCATGACATACTCTTGAGTACCCAAAACGTAGTTTATGTCTTGAATAGGAGCTACAAGCGGCCTGAGTCATCTCCTTCGTAGGCTGAATCCATCTGTGTCGCGTCGAGACCTCTTCTTTGGCTCCTCGTTGCCGTAGTTGTCTTCATCTCCGCTCTTGGCCTTGGCCTTGCGTGACTTGCAAGTCGGTTCTCATCAGTTGAGTCAAGAGTACGAGGGTGGATGAATGAGGCAGTGTCCAACGTCCCAAAGCTATCCATGATTGAGTTCTGACTGGCGCTCTGGCACATGCACTCGTAGATGCGCTTGGTCGTGTCTATGGCTTTTTCATAGTTTAGGTCCTTACTTATGCTCGTGGTCTGGTCGTGATTTTCGCTTGTAGACCTCCCCATCAACATCTATGCATCAGTAAGTGGAATCGCGTACTTAAAATGCTTCATGTCAGAGCCCGTCATCAACATCATTCACCTGCCCCAGACTATGATCTCGATCGCGTCCGCGTTATCAGCTGGTAGTATAAGCCAGTCCACGATCATGACAGGACTGTGTCGTACCAGGGCACGGCGGGAGGATCCCCTAATTCGATCACACACGTCAACTCGTCCTTATGCATGAACTCACTCGCGTTGCAGAACAGAACATGACCGCGAATCCATTCTCGCTGCAGTACGTGTACTCGTACCAGAAAGTCTGTCCGTCTAACTCCATGCAGTGGACCTCGACTTGGTCAGGTTCGGGGTGTGGGACATGGAAATCGTCGAGGTTTTCGCCGTTGAACAACTAGTTCTCCGCGTCCATCGTCCTGCAAGTGCCCATAACCTCAAACCAGACGTAAATCGAGCTTGTTCGTGTAGTCGTCCTTGGCCGGGTCCAGTATCCTCTGCAGGAGCCTGGGCACGCCCGACCCGACGAGCATGATCCTGCATCCGCTGTTGTACATGTACATATTTATATAACAGTGATCGAGTGCCAGATCTTGAATGTTTGTGCATGTGCCTACGGCCCCGTGGATGTTCACGTTTGGGTATTTGTCTGGTGGTAGTATAAGATCTTAACTCTGCCGTTGTTCGGGACTATGGCATATGACTTGGGATTACTTCCCATCAGTGCGTTGATGGCAATTGACTTATTATACCCCTTGCCGTGATTTGATATGTCGATCACCTTTTGTTATATGAACCTTGGTCGTCTTCGTATATTAGGGCCGTGGAGCACGTGAGTTGGACCATGTTCTTGGGTGCGCATGTGTTCGGGAGGTTGACTTCCCTCTTAGCCGCGATTCTGATCATGCCGTCGACAACGTTCACGCAGGTACCCAGTATCATCTCCGTCCCCATAAACCTGTACAGACCCGCCAACCCATGCCTGCTCGTGATAGCGCTCACTATCCCGGCCTTGCCCCTAGTCACGCATAACTTCCAAGAGGTGTTTCACATTATGACCTTGATATCTACTTCCACGACTTCGGCTTTAAGAGCATAGACTCGTATATGTTCCCGCCCTTGTGCTCGCCCATCTACTTGAACGTCACGGTGGTCAGGACCGCTGGTTCAATCCTCGTCTCGATCTTGTTCTTAACGGCGACGTTGGACACGCTCTAAACGCTCTAGAACGCGGGCTTGGGCGGATCATCGATCCAGAACTGGTGCCACCTCGTCTCTGACTCCTTTCTTCCCACAATGACTAGACTGGGTTATGTACGCCCACAACCACTCCTCATCGCCCGTCGAAGTCGAGGCTCGCCAGATAGTAGAGCTCGAGTGGGGTTCTAATCAAGCTCACACCCGGGGCTCCCACACCGACCTTGAACTTGACCGACACAGTGCTGTCGGGCCCCTGAGACGGACAAGTCCCGATCGCAATCGCGGCCCCCTCCTTCATCTTGCGCATACTACACTTCCAGTCCTCGGCCACATAGGTAAACAAGATCCTATCCGTAACCCTCCTCGGAATCTCAATCCATCCAGGATCAGCAACCACGTACTTGTCGATCTTCCCGAACTTAATCCCGGGTATAGGCAAGGCCACCAACCTGCTGCGGATTAAGGGCCCTACACCCATTATTCTGCTTCTTTAGGAGACCCCTCTTGATCGCAACCTTGTCGTAGCAGTGCTTCGCGAGTTCGGCCACGGGCTTCTCGCCGTTCATAACCATCTGGTTTATCATATTCGAGCATAAGGACTCGTGTTGTCCTGAAAATGTCAAGTGGTCACCTGGAGGTGTAATTATTAATTCCAGCTACAGTGACTCGGCCCAAAGCAGCGTCGCTGCCCCTTTCCTCAACCTACGTAGTGTACGCGCAAAAGATAAGCATACTAGCCTGTCTTGAATTCCAGAAGCTTAGGTATCTTGACTCACTTAACGGGCATGCCTTGGCATTTGTCTATCCTATTGATGTCTAGTGTCGCGCTGTCAGGCTTGCCATCCAGCTTTGCACCGCAGACTGCGAACATCTCGAAATCTGTGTGCTTGAAGACATATAGGCTCCACGAACGACAGCGGATGCGGGTCTTGTGAACTTCGTGTAGAACTAAGATTTGAAGTGACTCTTAATTCAATATTGTGACAAAATGACTGAAAAACAATATGTATTGATTCATCACCGAAGACATGCGCCGCCGACGCGTGGTGTTAGTTGTCATTCTGAACATCGTCGCAAGCCGCCGAAACGACAAGTTGATCATGCATACTGGACTGAGTGAATTGTACCAAAAATGGTGACGTTTAAAGCAAGATAAAACTTGCGAAGAAAGAGCACACAAGGATAATATAACTCAGACGACTGACCAATTGCCTCGACTTAATATCACGCGCCACTGACTGTCTGCATTGCCTTCATGCCAAGTAACGATCATTGCAGGGCTCTGCAAAAAGCCCCTCTGAAAGTTCCTCCATCTCATAGCTTTCCCTTAAGATACTTTCCCAATCAAGCATATCAGTGGTAACGTCGAGGAAGTCATCCCCATTGCCTACACCAAAGATCGATAAACGGCCTAGAGTCGAGACTGTAGACACTTCGGATTCATCATAAATCTTTTCCCAGTCCCAAGGCTGGTCAAGAGTGAAATCGCACTGGATTATGGCACTCCTCTCGCTCACAGGAGCGACTCCTCCGGTTGAGTTCCTGGTGGGAAATGGATATTCGTGGTGGCCGGATGGGGCGATCAGGCGGTAGGCGATACAATCCGTCATATTAGCCGTGAGCCAGGCAATATGAGGTTTTATAGATGTAGAAAAGACCTCGGTGGCACGATTCAGATCAGGATAGCCGCTGACAATAAGGGAATATGAGTCTGAAGGCAACCCTTCTTTCAAGGCCTCCAATAGATGCAGAATGAATCCGGTAAAGGCTCTCCCAATAAATCCAGGTACGATCTGATGCCATTCTGGAGTATTATCCAAAACCAGAGGGGGGCCTTCGATACAAAACATAAGGCCTCGGATCCTTTTGTCATCGCCTCTGGCAAGGATGTTCCGCCAAAGATTTATACGGTGCTCAACATGAAGCTTCGGATTCTCTCGACAAAAAGGAATCATGCCTATTATATGAGACTCAGGAAAGGCTGCTGCATATCGTTCTTCGTTAAGGATAAGCTTAGATATCAAGAAGCGCTGTTTCCGAGGAAGTTGTCTAAGGAACCTGATAGCTTGGGCGGTAGCTGAGAACCAATATTTTCGTTTATATCGATATTTCGAGCCATTGTAGCCAGGGATATCAAAGCCTAGATGGTACCATGCATCCCCATTCTGCCAATACTTGGTGTTTTGCATGAGATCTACCATTTTCTTGACTTCAGATCGAGTCGGCATAGCCCATGAATCGAATCCTAGGCTGAAGAAGTCGTCAATTGAATGTGAATCATTCCAACCAGGCAAGATTTCTTCGATAGCCTGGGAGAATTCTGTGGGGTGCTTGTCTGCAAGTTGTCGTAATAGGTAGGACCTCGTGCGTTTCAATGCCACAGTGCTATCATCTCCTCGTAGTCTTATTGAGGCGGCCCCAACTCTAGACCCAGCACCATCTCTAAATTCTTGAGCATCAAAAAAGGCGCAAGAGTTCCTCACTTCGGTAGAAAGCTCAGTACGTCGGTCCCAGTTCCTGATGAACTCTGCTACTTCTTCCATCACAATGTGCATGTATTGAGAATATTCAGGACTAGGCTCCTCGTACATATCAGGTGTCAAAAGTCGACCAAGCCGAAGGACCATTCCCCGTAGGAGGTATATGTGGTGATGAGCTATCTGATTAAGCATAAGGGCCTGTTTCCTCCAATCTGGCCGGTATACCGTCGAAAAGGTGATTGGGTTGAGAGTGAACGGGAGATGCCGCGTCTCGGAGGCGATGGAGCGACATGCTAATATCAGCGATATCTGAGCAGTCTGACCACTGGCCTGAAGCAGCTTATCTCCGTCTGAAACATAGCCGCCATCTGCCTTGAAGTAGTAGTAATAGATTTGGTCGCGCAGCTCCAAAGGAAGGCCCAAAAGGCTTGCCCTTGACGCAACGGGAGAGGCCATGGGAGACATTGCGGGGGAAAGGTCTGTGAAAATATAGGAAAACAATGACAAAGATGATCTGTTACAGAAGTGAGGGGCAGATTTGGGGTAAAGCTCTTATAGACGATGGCTACAGTGAAAAGATGACTCACAAAGCGGCAACCACAAAACTTTACTGGCAGCACATAAAAACTCAAAATAGATATAGAAAGGTAATAGGCTACGCTATCATATTTATGAATTAGCTATCAGTTGTATCAACTCAAAATACCCCTCTCAAAAATACACTTCAGGCAGCACTCGGTGACTCAGGGGTGAATGGTGGCTGCGCTGTGCTATACGGCTGAGTAACTGGGACAAGTCGGAGGAGCAAAGGAGCTCGAGATACGAGGGGAGGTTGAACTGGCTGGATGTGGCTGCGTGAGTCACTAAATCTTGAGAGCTTCAAGTTGAAGAAAGCCGGAGGCATTAGATGTTTTTGGCTTGCATTTTACCGCACCAGGACGAAGCTGCTCAATAACCGGGCCGAGATTTATGCTCAATTGAACCGGATCTTCTGGCTCAGCTGTCGTTTCTCAGCTCGGGTAGTAATGCCCTCGGCAGTAGTATTATTGTTGAAGCCTCTTGAGCTTTTGCATCGCGTTGTGCAAGTGAGCCATCAGAGACTTTCGACTTTTGTATTCAGCAGTGCAACTTGACAAAGAGAGGAAGAAACAGACCAAGTATCTTCGTTTTCATTTTTGGACGAGGCTTCTATGTACATAGAGCTTTCTGAGTCAAAGCCGAATGTTTTGCTGCCTCATTAGTTGTGTCGAGAGTTGATAGTCTGTCCCATAGCATGAGAGGTCTGTATAGAGGCGTGGCTGGGTGGAAAGACTTCACTAACGCGTTCCAAGATGAATGTTGGTGTTGGGGTAGCTCTGGGATATAATATGCCAGAGGATCATGCTTCATATGTCTCACTTTTGGAATCGACCTTGACGCCCATAGTTGGAGTTTGTAGAATTGTACAAAAGCCGTGAAGAGAATTGATAAGGTCAATTTTCTGTCTTCTTTCAGTGGAAAGAGATCTTGTGCTAAGAATTGGGGCATGCTTGCCAGACAGCAATTATAGTCGTATCGCGTCTGGAGCTCCGTAGTCTTATGACATTGTGATCTATCGCAATCTTCAATACAAAAACAGGGTCATGCGGCCATAGTGTTGGTCGAGGGCCTAAGACTGCTTTGCACTTCTCATTGTGGCCCTCCTCGTGGAAAAGCCAGGTTATAGTTCTGTCAGTTTATAGATGTGTCAAACATCGTGTTGATTCTTCCCTCCTTCGCTCGCCTTTGACTGGTACGAGCAATGTATTGGGCGGCTGGATCAGCATCTCTCCTACATCAATCAGGACTGTAAACCCCCCATGGGTACCCCCCATGTCTCCAACTCCTCAGAGACAGGCACTATGGCTTGGCTGAGTCGCGGGCTGGCCTTGAATTTATCAGGGCTATTGTGAAGCTTGATGTGCTTCTCTTGGGTTTGTCTCAGAGAGACGTTTGAATCACCATTTGAATCGACGTCCACACCGTAGTCTTCAACACATGCTTGAATGGTTCACTTCGCGCCAGGATTAGATGTAAAGCAATTGAAAAGCCCCGATAATCTGCTTTCTTGATCAGAGCTACGTATAGTATTGTGTGCTTGAACAAATAAGCTTCGTCTTTGCCTGGACTCGACGCCGGTGCCGCCACCCTATCGCGGCGCAGACCTCTGGGTTCGATGATGGCTTTTCCGATTGCCTGGATAGAGAATGAAGAGATGATGTGCCGATTCAAAATCCATTCTGGCTAGGGAAGGGAAGATAGCTGTCGGCTGCCGTGTGGCTCGAGAAATATTGACCATATCCGTGGTAGCTGGTCTGACATCTGGATTGAGCATTGACCTGCAGGAACAGGATCCATCCCCCCATGTCAACAGAGACGTTCAGCTGATGGCTTGGCTATTCTCTAACCAATCTTCATTAAGTCCTCAGTTGGCACTTCGATCTGTCACTGTGGCGAAGCAGCTTTTGAGATAGTTAATTAGGTGAATGCGCATTCTTGGTAGCCTATTACTTTTGCAATGTTGATTCCAAGATGATCCGAGGTCCAAGATCTATAAATAACCCGGCTTACATCACTTCGCAGGTGATTAGGTTCACAGTCATGCCCCATCGTGCGATTCTGGGCGACCCGGCTCTTGCACCAGAAATTCACAAGTTCACTGCAACGTGGTCTCAGGGGGTGCTGTCCCAACGTTCTTCACGACCAAATTGGAAAGGGTACACTTGTTAGCATTCCGGTAGAGTAGGTCTTATATATGCTGGAACTTTCCGGGAATGGTTTCTCATTCTTAATAGCCAGTAAATAACCTGGTTCGATAAACCAGAGCGATATGCCTCAACCGTGCTGTCTTATTTGGGTGCAGACCCGACCCCAGATATGACACAATACTTTCTGCAGTATTCTTTGCGGTTTCTTTCAGCTTTCAGTTGATGTTTGATGTATTATAATCGTTCTTGGCCGCCAGATTGCGGGGGAGTGACAATTTGAAGAGGGCAAGGCTAGGGCACAATACAAAGACCCAAAGCATGAACATGTAGCTCTGTTCGTCAATGTTTCGTAAACCTTCTGGCTTGACTCCGTGATCGACCAAATCGTGTTTCTTTGGTGTGTGATTGGACAGATACTTTGATCAAGGGGCCTCGGTGGACAATGTTGCCGTGACTGACAGTGGGAGGTCTGCCAAGGCAGCATGGCTCCATCCTGTCTTCCGTATCGAAGTTGACGGCAACAATCGTTGAACAGTCCTCGATGATGACATACGTAGTTACGAGAAGTGGACCTACACACTCGTACCCTCTGTGAAGGGAAAGTCGGCGTCACTAGGTTGAAGCGAAACGTCATGTGCCGGATCGGAGCCGTCAACGAACTTCTTGAAGCGAGGCAGCAGATACTCTTTTCATTCTCGAAGGTTGGCGACGCACAGTTTCGGTAGCATCGAGGTTTAGACAGGAATCTGTTGAAAAAAGATGGCCTTTCCCTCGTGCATCTGGGCCTTCACTTCAATCCACTCGTGCAGTGTCATCGCTTGCTTTTATCTATAGATATGCCACGGCACTGGCCGCCTCAGGCTACTATCGATCTGAGAATAACGCCAAATTGCTTTGACTGGCAAAGTTATCGCTCCTGTCCAGGGTTGAGGGGTTCATCTTCCCCTTGTTTCCCAAACCGTCTGTCGCGTGGATGCATATCACACCCTCGCGACGCGTAGGCCTGGCTCGCCCTGAGGATAATTATGTGAGAGAATATCCGTTCGCTCTCTTGTGTCGCGAAATTGACTGCGACGAGAACTACGAGCCAACCGATTGGACTCTTCGGCACCTTTTGTGCTCATGATACCCTCTCATGTTTTACCGTCTCTCTGTTTCTCGCCACGCTGGTAGTTGACAGTTCTGTGGGTCTCGTGCTAGGAGTAAACATGTCGCAACGTGGTCTAGCCTGTGGCAGACGGCGTCGTGATCTGGTTTGGAGACGCCAATCTCAATGTTGGGCCGTGACGAGCTTAAGTGAGACTTCGCAGGAATTCCTGATATGACGGAGACATGAGCAGGTAAACATGACGAATCGCTATATCGCAGCTGTCAACTCACTAATGTTTTCTGATAACAGCCCACAATTGGGTGGTATCTCCCTAACGGTGAATCCATACTTTGATGTCTTGCAGCCTTCTCTTTTGCTGCTCTCTCTTCTGCAGCTGATTTGCTGACCACAGACCATAAATTGACACCTCGACAAACTTTGACAGATCATGCCGATACGCAGGCCTTGCATCTGCCACGACAAGTTCTTCTTTAATCATAGAGTTTAAGCTTAAAGCCTGGTCCTTATCCTCATCTTCACCATCTTCGGCGATCTCGTCAAGTCTGTCATGGTTAGCCTGGATTTAAGACTCGAGCTCCTCCTTTTTGGACTTCTCCTTATCCGGATCATCCTCCTAGGTCTTAGGCGCAGAATTTTCTTGGGCACGTTCTTTCTTGAGATGGCTTACTCTAGCACTCGTAATGCTGCAGTTCGCCCTGGTTGTCGCAGCACCGATCGGGCTTCAGGTCGTCTTCGAGCGTCGCCGGGTTTGAGACAGTGACGCCCGGAATTCGACGGCTCAACTCCAAAGATCGATCTCGATACTACTTGCAGGTTATAGCGATACCCCAGCTGCGTAGATGTCACTAATGGTGCGGCAGCCAGCAAGCATTGAAGCTGATCTGCAAGGGCGTGGGAAAGCTGGACATTGAACGAACGGATGACTGTAGTCTCTCTCGCCCTGCCAGGCTCATCGATTGAGATGACTAAGTAGTGATCCATTGTAAGCTTTGAACTCCTCGAATGCAAAGAGCTTCCTACCGTGAAATCACGCTTGATGGAGTTCTCTCAGCAGTTTTCATCATGGCGAGAGGACATTGATGTCCTTTACTCGCTTTCAGACTGTTTTCACTGACTTTGAACCAGTCTAACCACCTGGTGCGATATCGAGAGGTCAACGCATCGTCTAGAAATGGGACACCAAGAACGCTAACCCCATTTGCATGGCTCGCAAGCTGTTCGTCTTGATGCTTCTCGAACTGACGAAGGGGGCTCGGGGCTCGGGGCTCCCCATGAGGGGTAACGGGTACTCCAGGTTTCGACACTGGTACTTATCAAGGCTTGGTGGAAGTCCTTTCGACCATCATGTTCGTCGAGCCGGCACTAGAGTGTATGGTTCGTATTCCTGCCGTCCAAATCTGACCCAGACTTATCTCGAAGAATGATGTGACGTCGCTCTTGCGATTGACGGTATCACCATGGTGCATTGAGAGATGCCGTACAAGTTCCATGGCGCTGAGTGGGACACATACAGCCAACAAGCTGACAGGACATCCTAAGCGTTAACCTCGCTGGCAGTCAGAGACTACAAACAAGCTGTTCGTTCAGATGCCTCTCAGACCAGCTGGTAGACCATGTCATGTGGAGTCCGCCACTCAAGGCCGACGACCGCCAGTATCATCCAGAATGTTCAACTCGAGGTAACAGGGTGTCACTCGGCCAAACCCACCTGTGATCAGGGTCGGGTAGCTGTGCTTGCGGAAGAAGTAGTGGATCGTGCCTTGGGGCATGTAAATGGTCTGTCGAGGATGAAGGATCAGGTACCGTGCCTGTCGCTTGGACCCTGTTCCCACTCCAGCCACGATGGCCTTAAAACCCTTTTATCAGTAAGATTCACTTCTATCCGGCCTGGAGACTACTCACCGTCAAGTGGTCCTCTATCAGTTCTCTGACCACAGTCATTTCCGAGTCTATCAAGTTCACAACCTTGTCGACAGTTGGGCCAAAGACCCCATTGATGTGACCACTGTCTTTGAGAATGGCGACCAAGGGCATACGTACACATACCAGAGCAGGTGAGCAAGGTTGTGCTCGCCCAGCTGTCGGACTTGACGATATGCGTTCGCGAATTGCCGGCGCGTGTGATCTGTTGCCGCAATGTTGAAACTCATGCTGTGCCTTTTCCTGGTACTTGGAGAAGCGGTCAGAGTGATCATCTCGTCGAGGGTGGGTACGGTTGAGACACCGCCGTCAGATTGGCCTTCTATCCGAGCTTCCCTGAAGTAGCTCTCCTCGAGAGCGAAGTCTCTAGTTTCTTTGGGGTCATAGCTTTTGCTCATGTTGCTCCTACTGCCGACGTTCTTTGTTAGGCAATTGTCGCACTGACCGCATTCAATATGAAGTACATACCAATGCAATACCATAAACAGTGCAAAGAATGTAGAGCGTGCTACACTGATGGATCTGACGCGCTTCAGCCCCAGAAGATGACCTATCCCAGTCTATACCAAGGGTAATAGACAAGCTGATCTTCAAGAAGATCGGAAAGACATGGGCCGCCCCCTCACGGCCCAAATATAATACAAGAGCAGCACGGCCAGGGGGAGCCGCACTATGATAGTTGAAGAGAAGAAAGGAAGGAAGAGAAGGAAAGGAAAGGAGGAATAGCCGGTATGTATACTCGATTTATGGGATCGGAATAACAATCCATTCCAAGTCTATCAATTCCTAAAGATACGGATGTCGGTGGTCGGGTAGTGGTTAGGTACGGAAGATGGACATTGTCTCCGTCACAACGAGAAGAATGCCCTGATACATACACGTACGGGCCAATGTGTATTGCTCTGAAGAGATTACTCGTGCGCATTCGTCAACCTGTGAAAAGTAGCCGCCATTGTGATGTGTACGATCCGCATGTTGAGCTTGGGCACGGCTTCGTGCATGACAAGTTGCGTTTGCTGATGTTCTAGACACATCACCAATGCACAACTGTACATGCACTCTAAACTTGTTTTACCTGAATACTCCCAGTAGTCAATTAGAGTTTTGAATTATTACGAGCCGGGTTTTATTGTCACTGGAGAGTCATTTGCCTCTCCTAGAGCTAACGCTGAGTCAACTTCAGTCATTTGACATCGCGACAGTGTCAATCACAATCCTTTCTCCCAAATAAGTAAGGGTTCAGGTCTATATACGAGATAAGCAATCACTTGCACTGAATACTCGTAGCTCGAATGCAAAGGCAACAGCCTCTTCCTCGGTGTACCTGTCCATTCCCCTGATGTCTCGCTGCCACAGATAGCCAACCTCAACTCACTCGACACCCTGATCAGGCATCACAACATCGCCAGAGATCCAGATCCAGCCACCGTTTTTACAATACCTCAATCATATAGGCCCTCATCTTCTCATATCAGGAATCAGTTTCACAACGCTTCCCGTTAATGCCTCGTCATCTTCCGCAATGACACTCTCTCCGGTCATTCTCTCGGGGAAGTAAACGGAACGACACCAGAGTAGAAGCCAAATCATGACATATTCAGCGGTAATTTGCAGTCCTGATACCACAGCCCCCTCATCAATGCGTCTCTCCGTCCACCGGATGCCTCCGCGGCACCGTTATCCAGCTTTATCCTGTCAAACAACTTTCTTGGACATACATACATCATCGGGACTCGAGACTCGGCGTGCCATTTCGATACTTTTGTTTCACTCCAAGTACGTGTCCCCTCGATCCATGTACCAGACTCAGAATAGATCCCGTCGACGCTTTATCACTCGGGGATATCTCCCCAGAGAGGTTCTCTCCCGTCAAGGTCTCGGCAAGCAAACGCGATCCCGCCACAGCTGCATTTTTTCACGAATATCTATCCCCGATGCGTACATTCGTTTGGGTCAAGTACCCGCATCTGTTATTGAGGTAGATTGATGGGGTATTGTTCGGATACGGGCCGCCTCGACGGGGACAATAGCTCTCACCGACGCCCCATTGCAGCTCAGGACGTTTGACATATGACTCAACATGCGGCCTGACGTATCGGATCTTGCCCGTTCAAGCTGGTGGCGATATCACAAACAGTCAATCATTACCGTTAATTAATTCACGGCACGGAAATGCTGTCAGCTTGTGGCCCTCCGTGTAAGTCGCCACTGTGAGTCTGAGGACTTCACATGTCTCAACTCAGCCAAAAGGCTGTCAGAGGCGGCGGGTAATGTGTGCATAGTGATTGGGTCGATAATGCTACCAATAGGTTTGCATTGGTGGATCATTTCATGACTATAGGTTAGGTTGAAGAAAAGGCTTGACTTATGACAAGCCGTCATGAGACGTGGTTTGCGTCCATGGATGGGGTTATTTGCTCCAAAGGTCAAGCGAGGCTGGGTGCCAGAAATCCCGGTCTGAGTTTAAATGAATTCAATGAAGTGAACCCTGTATTTCAACAATGATATTCATTGGGTACAACCCAGTTTCAGATCTCCAGAATCCTTGCTCCCATGAGGCTTGGTTCAAGGTCACATTCACGTCAAGCTATAAGGAACATCAAAGTGTGAGGCGAATGAGCTTCATTTCTAACCAAGCCAGGCCATGTATCAGCCTGCCTCATCTCTATCTGCTATGTCTCGTTCAGCCCGAGTAACTGAGAATCCAGAGCGAGTGTGGTATCCCCAACGCCGATGATGATATGTAAGAAAAAGAAAATACTGAGAGCCATCCCTTCCGATGCCATGCATGTCGCACTCCAAACGACGTACAATGATTTGGCCCTGAGGTCACAAAGACCACACGACGATAAAGCCAAGAACACACAGTCTATTATGCAAACTTGTCTTTCCACTGTGATCCTAATCCCTTCCAGATGCCAGGAGCTAATGGTAAAAGCAAACAACAAAAACATCCACACTGCCCATCACGCCGTTCATCCCGCATCCCGAATCGCCTTTCTGCGATCGAGGTAAATTTCGTATTTCATAAGACATGTTTCGTTTCGTCAGGTGTATGAAACAATAGAACAACAAATATCAATGCCAAGGCTGAGAGGATAAATAAAACCAGATATGGTGGAATACATGCGTCAAACGCCGTGAAATAAAGTCCGATTGCGATCCACTGAGAGGTCGACTTAGCTGTCTAGGCAGCATAGGCTTCGTTGCGGTATGGGTACTCGCTAAATTGCACATCGCCGTAACTTGAAGTCTTGACCTTCGAGGGGTAGTAGCCACCAGAGTAGCTAGCATCGCGAGAAGGCATGGAGGGACGCTCAACAATGCGAATACCGGGTTGGCTGGGGTAATATGCGTAAGCTTCCTCGGCTGGGGTGGCGCGTGAGTATGAGTTTTGTAGCGTTGTACGACCTCCTTCATTAACTCGGTACTGCATCACATGTTCGCCACGCGACTCAGGAGAGCGGTGCTTCTTGCTGCTGCGGTGAGATTTACGTTCGCGTCGGTAACGTTCATACTCATCCTCGTCATCACTCTCAGGGACCTGAGCTTGCATCCTTGTGCGGCCACGGCCACGGAGGTCGGGCTCAGGATACGCGCCACTGAAGGTTTGAGCTCGAGAGATGCCTGGGACGTGGCGACTGTAACCCTCATTGGGCATAGTATTCGTCCGTCTGGGAGGAGATGTGGTGGGTGCGCCAGTAGCTGTGGCTGACTTTTGCATATGAGGACGAGCAGTAGGAGGAGTGGCCTCGATAGGATCATCGACAACCTCAGGCTTGTAAGCCTTCTCGCCGGTGGATCCGCGTCTAGGTTTGGCGGATGATCGACGGGCATCGTCATCATCAGCCGGAGCAGCGAAAGGAGAGCTGACCGGAGGGGGAGTAGGAGCGGGAGGTTGGACCATATGTCGAGAAGCGTATGAGCCTTTACTTCTAGAGGCCTGGATGTAGTTAAGTGCAGCGTTGGTCTTATCCTGGTATTCCACGGGAATGGGTGGCGGGTGCATTGAGCTTGTCGTGGGAGGGGCCTCCTCACGATGTGATGATCGATCACGCTCGCGTCGCTCATCGTGCTTCTTGCTGGACTTCTTCTTCTCAGACTTTGATGAGATGGGCTCGCCATCGAAGGTCTCAATGTAAGGCTGCTTATGTCGCTTCTTCTCCTCAGTATCTCGCTTGCGAGACTTATCGCGGCTCTTCTTCTCGGCACGTCGCGCTTCCTTCTCGGCCTCCTTGTTCTCCTTCTCAGCACGGCGAATGGCTTCGTCGGCTCTTCGTCGTCGCTCACGCTCACGCTCCTTCTCACGAAGTTCTCGAGCATACTCCTTCTCTCGCGCTCGTTCCAACTCTTTCTCCCTCTCCCTCTCTTCGCGCTTTGTAGTCTTATCTTGATAAGACTTTTCCCTTCTCACAGTTCGAACTCCCTCGAAGATATCAGCAGCGCGAGGATGCTCATCCTCGTAAGAACGAGAATAAGAGGAATAACCTCTGACGGGCGATGGCTGGCGGTCCGTCTTGTATGTGCGGTCATTAGTGCGAATTTCGTATTTATATGTTGTAGATGTAGGCGTAGGTCGACTTGATGAGGGGCTCGCGGTAGCTGAAGCAGAAGGGCGACTTGATGCGCTCGCAGCAGCTTTTGCCCGCATCTGCTCGCGGAGTTCTGCTAGCCGGGCCTGATCATCATAGCGTTTTCGCGCCTTTTCATCGGCCAATAATTCGTAGGCGGTCTGAACCCTTTGGAACTCGTCCTGCTTCTGAGCCTTTAATGTTGGGTCTTGAACCTTATCGGGGTGGCACTTGAGAACGAGCTTTCGGTGCGCAGATCGAATCTCGGGCAGTTGCGCATCCTTGGCAACACCCAAGATTTCGTAAGGGTCAGGGGTTGATGTAGACATGTTGGGCGAATTGCTTTCGACTACCGGTTGGGCTGAAGTCGGGTATATAGGTTAACAAATGGTAATCGTGAGGCTGTTATTGCATCGATCCGAAGGTCGTCGGAAGGGCGAGGCTTTGGCGGATCTTGGTGAGGCTGTCAAGGGATAAGGCAGGGCTGGATGGCTGTATGTATATTAGGCCAAGTTGGGAATTCTCCGGGTTGGTGTTGTTGTCCAGCGATAGGAGGCGGTCGCAGGATAGGTGGTCTAGGCTTTGGGGGCGGTGTTGGTGTATTTGTGAGCCTCGTCGCCAGAGCAAGGTGGGTGGGTGCTCGGATTTGCAGGGTACCGTAGAACCAGGCAGGAACTTGTACTCTATACTTGCAAGTGCAGTACTGGATCAAACGAATGACCAGAGTTGGCAGGCGAGGGGGGAAAAGAAAAGGAAGAATTTATTTACGTGAGCAGCCGGCTGCTGAACACGAGAGAAAGTGACGATGTGAGTATTTGGTGGTGTTG